GACACTCCTGGCTTGTGTACCTTGAGCAGGCCGTAGAAGCTTGCCATCGCGGTTTCAGCGGTTTTCACGGACAGTGCCTCTCTTCTCGTGAGGGCACTCGCTTTCTTTTACTTAGTTACTGTCTTGTTTATGTTGTTTACAAGCTTTCTGAACTCGCTGACAGCTGAAAGTGCATGAGATTCCTTGCCCATGAACATGTTTCCCAGTTAAGTCCAGCATTCGGTCTTATCCACGAAGACCGTCGAGCGTCCCTTGTCAACTTGCGGGAGGATAATATTCTTTATTTTTTGTATCCCCAGAGATTCTTAATCACCTGCTTTAGAAATCGTCATCAAGGATTTGTGCTGGAGGAGTAAGGACAACACTGGTTGCTGCATGCTGTGTTTCATTCTTTATCTTTACCAGCGTTCCAGAAATGACAGACTTAATCAACGTCAGATGGCGGTTGATGCATAACCACCATCTTTTCCGTGTTGATGACCAGACCTAAGTTGTCGCAGGCGGCGGCGACACTGTCCACACTGTCGCAGCGCATTCGCGCACCGCATGGGCCTCATAGGGCACATGCGCATCCACGAAAGTGGAAGTTACCACATTCTCGAATCACCTAGCACATCCTGTACACCCAACATCTCTCACTTAATTCAGACACCGCTACCCATCGCGTCCATCACCAGTAGCTCCACCGCTGCTGCCATCACTGAAAACGGCCCTGGCATCGCCGATCTATCTTGTCCACACTGTCCCCGCACATTCATCTCACACATCTGCCCGGTCGGTCACTCGCGAATCCATCGCACAGAGCCTGGCGTGCCAGTGTTTAGAAGTCCAACATACATGCACTCGACACATCCGCATCAGCTGCCCTCACAGCGTCCGCACATTCATCCACCGCATGGGCCTATTAGGCCACATTGCGCCTTCAACAAAACATGTGGTAGCCAACCGCCAATTGCACCATACCATCAGAGCTTCCCCCGCCTGCATCACAAAACATCACCACCTACCACACGCACCTAACTGCCACCTCCCATGCAAGTGAGGAGTGTGCTTCTCAGCACGTGACTCCTCTGCTGCATGTGTGATCCGAGTCCGTGACCATCACGGTGCGTAAAGCGCTGTGGTCTGGAAGGCTGCTGATTGACGCCCTAACTCATTCCATGCAGTATTCCCAGTTGTGTGTGTGTGTTTGTGTGGAGTGACGGACTGGTGGGCTAAGAGCCAGGCTGAAATAACTCCTCCTTAAGTGCTTTGTGACACTCACGCATGTGAGGAGTGTGCGTGTGCTCTATGGGTAGTGCCCTACAGCCGAAGGTCTGAAAGCGTCTGCTATGCCAGTATCACCAAACCATAGCGCTCTCAAACTGGAATGCGCGTTGGCAGCTCCCTGATACCTAGTCCCCTGCCTGTAGATGTGTCTACGCTCCCGCTGGGTATACAGGTCATGGGTATGAGTGCCCAATCACCGTTGCCTCTGCAGCTGTCTTTGTTGTTGTTGATGCTATTCGTTCAAATCCTGATCATCTGTTGTGTGGATCAGGGAGTGCGGAGTGGGGCGCCATGTTGCTGACTCGGCTGTGCCATCTGCCTGCGCCATCACCCTACTCCAGTCTTCTTGACTCTGCTTTGACAGCGGGTGCAGGCTGGATGTGGGAGGAAGGAGTGAGGCAGATGCTGTGTAAGCCTACTAACACTACAAACTAACTCACGAACACGTCACAGTGCCTGCTGCACTTTGCTGTGGAGCACACGAGGGACGTCGTCGACAGCGACGGTCGAAGTGTCGTATATGTTTGTGCCAGCCTCACATTCACTCACATAACGCGACACCAACTTATATTTATACATTAGTGAGTAGCCGTTGATGGTTACTTTTTTTCTACCAGCTGGAAGCCGTCAGCAATTCTGTAAAAAATCCTTTTTTCAATTTTCTACTTATCACTTTTTTCCAACGTTTTTTAACCGATAGGCATATCAAAGGCGCTCGACTACTTTTCTCAAAATAAAACTGTACTGAACTGAACATATGTGCATATGTATACATGTATTTTTAGAACAAAACAGCCTTTCTTGCATAGGCTTTCGAGACTGCTTCCCCAGCTCGTCGTCAGAATTACTTTTAGCTGTAATGCCGTCTGTCTCGGCCGAATTGTGACATGTGCCTCAAACCGGATGAATAAACATAAGTTCAAAGGAAAGAGACTAGACGACATATCCCAGCTGGTAATAACAAATCTTTCCAGTTACTTAATTTCTGTAATTTGGGGTAGTTTTAGGGAACGCATATCCCAGTACACTTTTTTATGCCTATCCTCTCGGTTGGGTGGCGAATTCAATCTTTTGGCGAAAGGTCTATAGTTCTGTCTACAAAAGTATAATATTTATATATTTTTACGACGATCGCGTTTTCGGCGGTTACTAAATGTAATTTACTTAAGGTGGAAGAAATTATTAAGTGCAAAGCACCCAGCAGACCACCTGACCGGTGCGTCTTAGATCGTGCAGAAACAAAGAAATCATTCATAGAAAACTGTTCGAACAAACGACTAAGGGGAGAAGAAGCAAGGCGTCTTTAACTCCCCAAAGGTAGAATAAATCTCTGAAAAATTTTAGTAACTGACGGATTTTTCACACAGCTGGGTCGGCTGTCCATTGTTGAACCCGTGCTGCACACACACACTTCTCAAGGTCTTTCCGGCTTCTGGTAATTGATCTTTTTGCCGTTATCGCTCCTGCGCTCGTTTACCCACACATGTTGGTGTAGTGGTGGTGGTGGTGGTGGTGGTGGTGGTGGTGGTGGTGGTGGTGGTGGTGGTTTACCTGCCTGAGAAGTTAGCACGTTAGCCGAGGATGGTTTAAACCATGACATTATGATTCCTCATTGAGTTAACCGGTTGTCGACGTGTCTAAGACGCATATCGGTTTTGTTCATATGGGCGATTTGTATTTTGGTGTCCATAAGCCAGATCTACCTCAGGGGATTGCAGCAGTTGAGACACCGCCTCAGAAGAGCGTTTTCATACTTCTGGATGATTTTTCCGGTCTTTATACGTTATTCCACAGTTTGATTTTCTTGAAAAGGCTGCATAGACACCCGATAGTACTACGGAAACCATAGATGCACATTCACTTAATTATGTCGTCTAGTGCGTTGTGGCCAGTTTTTACTTTGGGACATGTACCTGGGGATAGCTGGCTTTGAGTAGCAGATGGTTTTATTTTGTCAAACCTCAGCAGTATTTAGTGACGACGACCCTTTACATACTGTTGTCTGCAATTTTCACATAAGCAGCAACGCACATGAAACCAATTAGGGGAAGTTGTTGGCCATTTTTGGTTTCGTGGGAAACTAATTAGCCAGAAATGAATTAGAAGATTAGAGAGCGACGTGCGCTCTATTGGCTTGATATGACCATGCATTCGCCCAGTTAGCAAAAGAGTTTCAGGAAAATCTGTCTCCCGTTTTTCTGACTAATTACTTGGGGTTTTTCTTTTCAGAAATTTATTCAGCATTTCTAAGACAGGAATTTGGAGACTTCGCCGAATAAACGAAGCCTTCACAAGCTGGGTCTTATAAAATCTATTTTGCGTTTTCTACTAATTTCCATAAGTAACTGTCTGTTGCTTCTGTGGATTTTTAAAAATAAACAATTATAGTAGTAGATTAGTCTGGCATTGCTTCCCTCCAGTCATTTGGATCACAAGAGCTTACCTTGAGTTCCGACTTCTTTAGACCTCTTGTGGCTCCGGCTCTTTGTGCAATCCAAAATCCCAACTGCCATGAACGAGATGCATAATAAATACAGTCGGAATATTTCAATATTTTCTTATCAGATGCTGGCTATTTTGTAGTCTACCACCATGCGCGTGCTCAGAAGTTTCAAACTTTTTTAAAGTGATTTTCGAAAGAAAGGTGGAATGTTTTGACTGGATTTCAGCAAACGCCTACGCGATGGAAGTCGTGCTTTTGCTGCTGGCAGACTTAGTTTGGGCGTTTTAGTCGCTGGTTTATACCCAGTTTGATTGATGCAGAAAGGAAGGTGCTCTTGGCAGGGGAATGATGCGGAAAAGCTGAAATTACGGAAATTGCTGCACGAGGTGTGCAGCATACGGAAGTGCAGTGGTTGACTTTTGAGCTTTTCGGAATAGAAAACAGAATAAAAAGCAGCGATATTGCAGGAACTTTACTAGCATTCTTGAGTAAATTGAACGGGTTGGGTTTTAAGAGCGATTTTTGTGTTGTAAAATTGGCTGACTTGATGGCCATCAATGTTGTCTTATCAAGCAAGTTCTTTCGGAGCATACTGTGCCTCGAAAATATAGACTGCAGATCATGGAATTTCACTCAAGATTATCTGACCGATAAAGAGATGAATTCATAGGACGAGTGTGTTAATTTATATGTATCTCTCTCAATCATTCAATAAGTCGGAGATAACTGTTTCCCTACAGATGTTTGTGGCCCACATTACCCTCTGTGTTTCCGTGCATTCTAACATATAATTTATAACGCAAACGCATTTATTTAATGGTCAGCAAATACAGATTGAATCATACTGCAGAAAGCCAGTTTAAAATTGGTTTATTTTCCTTTTCATTTCCATTTTATGTATGTACATATAATGCGTATCATCTGCAACGCGATCATGTAGATTTATTTGTGTTTTTCGATGGCCGACTGCAACATTTGATTGAACGAAGGTGCGATAAAGCCACAGCAGAGTCCTCTCGAACTTCCCTTATCCCTGACGATAACGCAACTACTAGTATGTTTTGATTGAGCTCGGCCTGGTAGTCGGATACATATTTTTAACCTCGGTTCGACTTCGGATTTTCGTTGGTTTGAGAAACCAATTGGTCCGCGGGCAGTTACTGGAGTATACAAAGCGAAGATATTTTGATATCCGGTAGTCTCACCGGAATCCAAGAACAAAGACAACAGATAAGCTGAATCTCAGATAAAATTCAAGCACCACAACCATGAGTGACCTTCAGTCGCGTCATTGTTCTGTTCTTGTGGTGCTTGTAAAGGCGGTGGCAGATCGCATGTCTGTCATCTGAGTCTTCGGTTGAATGCTACGATTTCTGCCCTTGACATGACCTTCAGTCTTTTGATTGGTTAGAACCACCTCACTGTTGACAGCGAAGCCTTGTGCGCAAAAGTTGAATTATAGGTAATTAGGGCCAACTCACCTGAGTGTCTGGCAGCAAGCCAGAATTCGTGCATCTTCGTCTCAACTTCTTTTCTGTTTTCCCCGACATAGCCGAATTCGCTGGAATCACACTCAAGCCGGCAAACAACGGCAGCTTTGCGACTGAATGTTAGTGAATCCCTCGGATGCATGAAATGTCGGTGAATTGTCGCTTCCGGAATGTGTGCTACTCCAGTGCGTAGTCTGTTCAGTAGATTGATGAACTCTTCGGATCCACAAACAACACATGATACAGTGCACCGGTTCTTCAGTGTAGGCGTCCGTTGCCAGCGCAAATGCAACATCAAAAACACATTAAAATGAGAAAATAGTGTGCGCCTAGAACGGACCACATGGCAGGTGTGCTAGGCTGACTCAGGGGCTAGCTCACAGTCTGGCAGGCATCATCGGGATTGCGCGCCCATAGCAAATGCCAACTTTTTCGGTGCAATAGCAGTGCCCACCAGGCACAGGTGGGGGAGGAGGGTGTGCGGTGGATGCTACGCAAGTCGCCGCGCCTACTGCAGCTTGCTGTGGACGATTTTGAAGGTCTCACAGACTGCGCATCAATTTCCCGACTGGCCTTTGTTTTGCCTTGTGCGAGGCAGAGCTTTCTGGAGCAAGAGACGGGGTCTAAAAGTGGCAATCAACAAATGAATGACACAAACTTGTGTAAGCGACAGGAAGAAGCCCGTGGAGGTTGTGCCGACTGGACTGAAGGGGAGAACGTGCGAAGTACGCAAACTGGTTATTGACTACTGAGAAATGTATTGTTGCAATTATTGTAGGCCTAAATAATCCTTGAGATCTCAGTTATTCCGAACAACGCGCACTGTCACGGTTAGGGAATACACTTTGATCAGGTCTTTCGAGCTTCTTTGGGTGAAAACGTGTACTACAACTCAATGACAAATTGTGAGAGCACTTTGAGACTAGAAGATGCAATAAACAGAAAGGGCATAGGATTTTTAATTTGATTATTTATTAAGCCTCTGGAAATTAACGAGTCAATGGACGGTAGAGTTGTGGGAACGGGACTTGTGAGGTCCGGCCATTGTTTTTGCAAATGCCTGAGGTAACAACGCGCACTGGCGCATAAAAATGAACAGGAATATGCAGTGCAGAATGCGAATGCTATCATTCCCTTTTAGATATGTCCTGCTCTTCTATCAAAAGGCCTGTGACTTTTGCTTCGTTTTCTTGACCCGGTGTCGAGTTAAGCGTATCATCCAACACTAGCAAGATAGGCGTGGGAAGTGAGGTCAAAAAGTAATAAGTCGTTTGCCCAGAGCGAGGATTCTGCTTCAGTCAAGAGTACGGATTGGCCGTGGTTGGGAAGTGCTGCGCATACTTACGGTGACTCCGTTTTATGGATTCTTGTCCTTCAGTATTTTTGCACTGATAATTAGGCCTTTTTCGTGGTAATATGGTTAAAAATGTCAATTTTTAATCAAGCACCGACTTTTTCACTAATCGTTTTGTTTTATCCACTAACACACTTAGGGAATTATCCAAATTTTGTAATTGAAAACATCATTGAGTCATCATTGACAATAGCGCAAAATATTTTGCAATGGTAACGGTTATTTCATGCCTTACCCGATCAACCGATGTCAATGAAGGCCGCTTGAAGTCTCCAGTAGTTTTTTGAACCCGTCAGACGTCCGTAAATACTAAATTCCGACGAAACCAGCGTACTTAAATCTTCCAAGTGCGATTGATTAATGAGCGTTTGCTAAAACCATAATGTGCAATTGGTGGCAATGTTTGATGCCAATCTTAGGTGTCAGGCGAATCTTCAGACAGCCCTTTTTCCTTTAGGCTTACTGGAGTAGTAACATGCTAAGCTGTGCAATATTAAACACTGGAAAATGCGGTTTTTGAATTTTGCTCTGAATATTTAAAAAACGAGTTATCAAGTCCTTCGGGACAATAATTTATTTGCTTTTGAAGTTAAGACAGAAGGAATGTGAAGCCCCTGGAAAACAGGTAGTCTCCCGACCTCAAACCTAGAATCAACCATTTTCCTAATTCTTACCTTAACTATAACCTTAACCAAACCCTAATCGCAACCTTAACTTTTATCTCCCTGGAGGTTAGTGCAGAGGCAGCAGTGTTACCCAAAAGAAGTCCCTTTTCCTGTTTCATGTCTCATGTGAATTCTCCACTCGAGGCTGTCATAACCATTCTGAAGTATACCAAGTTTACTTTCAGTCCTTCTTCTGAAAGAAACCCATGTTTCTACTGGGAGACACGTTTTGCAGTCAGCATGTTCACTCTAAAAGAAAGATGTTTTCCAAACTCGCAAAGATAATTTGGAGGACATTTTCTATGCTGTGTGCTGCACTAATGTGCTATTATAACAGTAAGCCGCGAAAACATTCACTCTTTTCACATTCGCACGTTATGCATGAGAGGTCTAATTGGCGATAATCTGTTTTGGTAATTCGCCATAAGATCACTACAATTAGGTGAAGAATGAGCTTGTGATTGGTGTGCTGGCAGCCAGCAGATTACTCGAAACGCCTACGCAAAAAGCGTACTGACATCGACCCAGGAAGTAGCTATTCGACTATTGGGCCCAGCTCTTTGTTCTCTGATGAAGTTGGTGTAAGCGCTCTACCTTCCGTGGCCAATGCCGAGCCCAGGAAATGCTCTCACGACGCTCCAAACTCCGAATGACGGTCATCCTTGTTTAATACAGAGGTCGCTCACATCCTACCTCCATCCCACCCCAGTCCCACTCACCTCGACACGCCGACCGGCACACTAATTCGGTTGCTTTTAAATTATCCAGCTCCAACCGGCACCCACCCTGAATTCCATCCAGCTTCCTCCTGCTCCTGCATAACGTTCTCGATGGCACAGCGCCCGTTCACCTAATTTGCATCCAGGAAAATGCTTGGTCATTTAGTTTCAGTAATGCTTTGAAGTTTGTTGCATAGGAGATGGGGGGGGGGTCTTTTCTCTATCCAACGATTTCTAACTCACCAATAGCTGGCGGTGAGTATTTGGACTAGTGGTCTGCAGACAAATGCCATAAAAGTAATTTAGCATTATAATTTTCGCCAAGTATATCGCCTAGACCCACAGGACTACACCATTTCGCCGTTCATATAGGCTATACAAAGTCGATAGGCTGTGTGTTCCGCGCTAATCAACAGTCACAAACAGGAAGTCTAGAAACACTCAGTCTTTGAAACGTACATAAGATGGAGTTGTGTCTGGGATGGTGTTTGCCATTTCATTTTCAGATAACTCAGCAGAGGTGTCTTTAACGGTCTGCTGGAGGTGCGAATTAACAAATTACTTGTTATAATACGCAAATGAGAATTTTATTTTCCATTGAGGCTGCGTTTACCTGAGTCCAAAGAGCCGAGCGGTATCCATAAAGACTACATCGCCTAAATTGAACGTGTTCAACTGTGTATCAGTTGTTGCCGGTTAAGGTGACGGTCCACGCGTGTCAAAAAGCACCTTTCGTTTGCCCGCATAAGAACCGAACTCATAATAAGGACCGCTAGTTTGATCGGTATAGGTACTGTGTGCGTTACTGTTCCACTTTGCAGGTTACTTTCGAAAAGGAAGTAGAAAAAACTTTGAAAAACAAAAGTCAGCTCCTTCATTGAGGTAAATAAGAAGGGACAGTGCAGAGCTTGGCTTTCAGAGACAGCGCATATTGGATATCGGTAGTAACAATTGGAGGTCGTATCACCAGAAGAATAAGTCCATTAACACACAGCCCAATGAATATCAACGGCAGCTAATACTTCTTTCATGCCATCAACTATTGTAAATAAGATCTTAGAATAGACTATGAAAAAGTGTAAGCCTTACCTAATAAGATATCATTATTACAGACAGGTTACAGTTGAGACTCCTGTGATGTATTATCTCGCGACTAAATGCTAGATGTAAAAATTCTAATTGTTTCAAAACCCGAATTTACGTAGTACAGAAAAGTCACTTTTATGAATCCACGTTATTAAGGGCTATTCACTTCCGTAAATAGAGCCCGTCATGCACTATCTGTTTAAACAGAGTGCTCAGGAAGTTTGCCATCGTATTATGGCAATTACCTAGACGACTGTGTTGACTGAAGTGCCGGTACTCTTGCCCAATGGAGATCAGCTTCAGATAACGTTTTTTGACTGCAGTTACTTTCAAAAAAGCCCACTGAGAAATATTCCCTCTAATGACTTTATGTTCATACTTTGTTTCACGGATAACATTTACAAAATAAAGCCGGAATTCCGGTAGGCAGGAAGTATATGGAACGGATATTCGGTGGTGCTGATTGCTTGTTCTAATTAAGTGAGCTGCGCTTCTGTTTGCACCCAGGTTGTAGCTGCCTCGTGCGGAATGTCAAGCAGATGTTGAAGGAAGTTGAAGTTACAAAATAGTCCCAGCATTTAGAACATTCTAGGTCCTCTGTTGAGAGTTCATTTTAGCTGGAAATTCAAGCCCATGCTGTGACAATTTCTAACCCGCTTAACTTATGTTCTTTTGAAATGCACAATAAAGGATTTCCACGTTCTGTTGGAATCTACACTTGATAAGTATCTCCCCGTTAAACTTTTCAGCTGCAAAAACGGTCACTGATTGACCAAGCTACCTCGGAGTGTACTACTGTGGGCGACGGTAGGGTAAAGGACCCTATTTGACTGTCGGTGGACTGTGCATCATGTTATTTGAGGTTTGTTTTGGCACTCATTTGTAGGCCGTGGCGGACAATAAACTTGCGGCAGCATTTATTTTCCATGACATCAATACATTACTCAAATCGCGTTGTTTTTTGTAAGTTCGCTTTTTCGCTTATTTTTCTAATCAAAGCCCTGATTTCCGTTACCGATATTAAGATAGTCAGATGAAAGACGAACAGGCATAAAGCCATTTATTTTTCCATAAAATTCATCCACGATAATTCTCATAAAACTCGCATTTGCAAAATGGGTGTTAACGTTTTGGGGTTTGGAATTATAATCTATGAAAGTTAATGAAGATTGAACTGTGTGAGTAGTAGAAGTCAAAATCCGTTAATTACACTCGAAGCGAATAAAGCTCGCCCCCTACACTGTACCCACACGATGCGGTCTCTTCTAAAGAACACATACTAATGCATTAAATGTAAGGCCGCTTCTCGTGCCTCAGCAGACATGAACGTTAACGAATGCCTTCCAGTTAGACCTCTGCACTTTAGGGTGTTTTTTTGCGAATCATTGTGCTCGACCAATTGTATTTTAGAGGACAATATGCGTCCAGTTAATGGACACCATACAGTCTGTAGAACATGCAACGTGCTACTTTCCTTTCACCACTGGGGATCCTGAGGCGACATCTGATCGTTTAAAAGGGATCCAGTTCCACGACTTTTAACTCTTCGTACCCACGCAGACAAAACCTAACTCGACTTGTGCGTGGATATATTTTTCAGAATGAGAATTCTGTACCATCGGGGACTGTTGAAGATAACATTTTAAAGCCAGCCACTAGACAGCAAAGAGGTCAGTTCACATAGAGGACAAGGATGGACAGGTTTACGTTATTCTATGCACAAGGATTTATTGTATCATACTTTGCAAAACGTTATTTGGTAACGGGAGGGTGTAGGACCCCCGTAGCCAACATTAAAATTCCACGTGACTGCAAATATCACCTCTTACTCGCAGTTCTTACTTGTTGACATTTCCTTGACTTCCTAAATGCATTTAAATTTTCGGCCGCGGCTTATTAAAAATAGGTTATTTTTAGAAAATCGCCATCAGTCCGTTTTTTTAAATGTCGCACTCACTTTCATTGCTGTTCGGCAGCATGCAATAAGACTTTCGGTAAAAAATTTGCTTATGTTCTGTGGCTTTTAGCATTCCGCCTGCTCTTTGTTCTGCGCGGTGCCCCATCCGTAAAACCTCTATCACCATACAATGTAAGATACGGTTCACAGGCTTCCTCAAGTAAGTTGGGGCCCTACGCCCTACCGTTGCCTTTACTCAATTTCAACCATTTTGACGTCTTCGAAGATTTTGGCTTTTCTACAAAAATTGGTATTTCTGGGCAAAGTATTATTACCTTTCTTATTTCTTTTATTTCGTCAATTCCTTTATAGATGGGATTCATAAATACAGACACTGAGTTCAGTCGTTTTGGAATGATTAACAACCACACTACATATGATAAGCCGCCTATTGTAATTCCAGAACCGATGACTAACGAGCTGCCATAAAGGTTATAGCACACTTCTTCAAATAGAGCAAGAAACAAAACAATGTCACCATAAATGTTTGGGCTTTAACTACAAAAAAGTTTGAGCATTGTTTTTCTGCAATGTTTAATGATCTTGTAGTTAGGCCGAAGGGCCTTGGCCCGCCAGTTCACAACTACCTAAAAAGGCCAAAAATAACTTTTAAATGGCATAAATAAAAAGGCTAAAATAAGTGAATAGCAAACGCCCACACAACCGTCTGCCTTAGCCCATGCCACTGAAACTCTTATCAGGCATTCAACAGATCAAAATGACTGGACATTTTGAAGCTGCGTCTAGTTTAATGGTCTAATTGCCAAACTTTATGTATGCTGTTGAAATAAAACATTGCATTCCAATTGAAATATCTGAGATATTGAGGGACGGCCAGCCCGAGGCGGCCAATTTAGGCCAATGGTCACCACAGTTATCCTTCTCTCCTCTAAATCCATCAGATAATGACTTTTGCCTTGGAATGTGCGTTTTATTAATGTATACAAAATACTGTCGGTCTTACCGAATTACTGGAAGGCACCTACAGGGAGATCGAAAATGAATGAAATGAGTCTGGTTATTTGAAGAAACAAAATGTGTATTTTAGGGAGATGTCGTGATCTCATCCATTTTGTATAAGGCCTGGGATCTACCAGAGAACTGACCAAGCATTTTAGGCGCCTCATACAACAATAGTCATTTATGGCTTTGAAGCAGCAGGAGGTGCGAGTTATCAAAGCACCAGTACATAGCAGGAATATGGAGCCATTTCGTCTAAGTGTTCTGAAGCGCTCCTACGGCACTACAGAGTTAGTTCTGGAGAAATCCAGCCCACAGTTTATTCCTTGTTACCTTTCAATCAAGTAGGCAAGCCTATGTCACCCTAAGAAGGCACGCTCAACTCGACCAAACTTGCTGTAGGCGGTGATGCATATTAAATAACTCCGGCTGGGCTGGTGTCGGGTTTCGCTGCCTCCCCAGGACCCCTACTGGCAGCTGCAGTACAGCAACATTCAGACAATGTGAGCGTCCTCTTCATTAAATATAATCAGACCCGCCTTGCGTAACTGTCTTCAAAAACAACAACTTAGCCAACAAGCCAAGTGCCCATGCGTGTGTTTCATCAGAACTCGGCCCGCAAATGCTGCAGCTGCCGAGGGTTACACTGGCCAGTTCGTCTCACAGAGTCTTCCGACGTGGTTTTTCGGTAGGGAATGCGTATTTCACTGTGCAATTTTAAATTACACGCTTGCTGATGGAGCTCTAGGACTATAAAGATACTGGCTGGCAAAATAGAACATCGTTTTATGGGTCCTAATCTCTGCCCGAAATATTGGCTTGAGACGTTATAAAGCGGCGAAGGATTTATTCGTACGGTCATTTTCCGGTCAATGCTCGCAAGACAGTGTTGCTGACAGATTGCACGCACTTGAATATTACTAGTAGTAGTAGTATTAGTAGTAGTAGTAGTAATGATAGTAGTAGTAGTAGTAGTAGTAATGGTTTGGAATTTGGAATAACTACATCAAGCCTTCGAGCCGTCAAGTTGTAAGTGGGCGAAATTGACCTTCTCGCAGCCCTTAGCGCGCAGGCCACTGGAGTCTCACATTTCCTGACCTAGTTCAATCCGAAAGAACACTTGCACTTCATCTATGTGCATTGTTAGAAGTGTCAAGCATCTGCGCGTGAATTAGTTTATGGTGGTACAAGACTTGCTTAGCATCTACCGCACTCTCTCGTCCTCACCCCCCCTGGACCCCGTTTCAAGACAGAGTCAAGAAGACCGGAGGCGGGGCGCAGGTAGTTCAGGTGATGTGCATGTAAAATGATGTATTCAAACTCCCTTCAGTAGAATAAAGTTAATTCACACTAGTTTTCGGACATGGATCCCCTAAGTAAGGCAAATTCTATTTTGAAAGAAATGGTAGGTGTTCTCGGAGGATTTCCGCTGGGGTGGGAGGCACAGCCAACGCTTCAATGTACACTGTCGAAGCCTGAACTTGCAGATTCTTTGGAGCACCCCTACCCAGGTCTTTCCAAAGCGAGTTACGAACTTCACGCGTGATCATGCAGGTTCATTGCGGCCAAATTCCGAACTTAGACCAAAATAAGGATGCCAAATATTCTGTGCTATGCTTCTGACCTGAGGTGTATGTTTTACAAGGGGCTTTAGGGGAAAAAGCAAACACCGGCTCTGACGTTAGTGAGTGTGTCGAAACGAGTTAAATAGGCACGTACCCGTAAGCGTTTTCTCAACCAAAGCTAAAATAAAAAATGTCTACGTGTGAATTTAATGACGTCATCGCTATTTGCAGGATGCCCATAATTAAAAGTAATTCATGGTCCGCAGGCACATACTGACGATATACTATTAATCACCTTTAACAGCAGAGAAATATGAAATAGGAGCACAAGCAACAGATAAGGAAGGCAGATAGGGTACCTGTCAAAAGCAAGTCAAATAGTGACTCTAAAAGCACAAAAACGATTTAAATGTTAGCTCGATATCTAGGCAAATCAAGTAATTACTAAATGCTCGACAGAGAACAAGTACACATATTGAATAGAGTGCATCCACACACCAGGACATCTAGGCTATGAGCATAGTTCTCCTAGTCGCAATTATTTTTCGGTCATGCGACCCACTGGCAGGCAAACTCACATGCACAGAAAACGGGCATTCAAGCATTAAGGGTTTACTTTGTTACTTATTAGAGATGAAAGACATGGTCAATTTCGTCTGCGATGATGCCCGGGGTCTGGGCGGGTAATTTCGCACTGACTATGATAATCTCTTGCAAATTTGTTGTGCAAATAAACATAGGATGAGACATTAAACGCAAATGAAAACACACAAACTCCAGTCTTTTAGCTTTGGCAAACACAAGTGTTTATTGCTTACTGAATTCCGGGTTTGAGTCTATTTCTTCAAAATAAGCAAATGCAAAGTATAAGTTGCAATTTTGGTTCATTATGAAGATGACACACTACAAGGTGTTCTTCACAAAGCGTACCAACAAAACGTAGCCTCAAGTTTAAAACATGAAATCTATCGTTTCCCCCCAGAGGCGGCTTCACTTAAATCAACCAATCCATTTTGTTCAAGGCGAAAACACTTTTCTGCTGAAACGACCGAGGTATAGTTGTGGAGGAAGCAAATGTCTACTCAAACGTTTTGCAAACAATGGCTGCGCAGCAAGCATTAGCCCCTTCATCAGTTTGCGCTCTGAAACGCTAGCAATATTTGTATCTCCGGAAATAAATGGTGTTGCACAGCTTCACCGATAAAGAAAAAGGGGAGTTAGAATAGCTTCATGTGTATGACGTCCAGAATATGCCAAAGATGAATCGCATTCAAGTCATATTCAGTAACTATACTGTGATCATAGCATCCCAGCACATGGCAAACAGCTTGCCGATTAAAAATTAATGTTTTCAACTAGGATTTACTTCTTTAGTCTGACAAATGGCGGACGCGGCCGCACTGTCAGTCATATCAAGTGAAGTAAGCATCCGTATCTCAGGGAGGCGCCAATAGGTCCAGTGGTCTAATCTAAAGTCATTGTCTATGCGGTGAGAGACATTCAATCGTTATGGTCGGCAAGATCTAAACAGCAGGTAATTATCTGCAGGTTTTGGCACGCAACGGCTGCACGTAATGCTTTTCGGAAGGAAATATAAATTGGCCGCCAGAGCTTCTCCAAAATTTATCTTTCTTCGCGTAACGGCGCAGGTACCAGATGAGAAACATGTCGGGGTCGTCGACAGTTGGCAAATGTTACGCGGTTATTCCACTGCAGTTGACGAGTTTCAGCTCAAACATACACATCAAATTTTGGCCAGAATTTCCATGCGTTTTCTGGGATATACAGTTCAGGTTTCATGTAGCTTGTCAATACTATACAGTAATTCCTTGTAAGCTGATAGATTTCGGTCTTAATACTCATAGCAACTTTCAAATCGAGCCCACATTCCTTTGCGTTAAAGGATGAACCCTAAATTCGCGCATTGATTTCCTCGGAAATTGAACCAGACAGACAAGATAAACGCGCACGGCTACTAGGCGAAAAAGATGCCTCCATCCGTGTATATTTTGTTTCCTGTCTTCGAACCTGGAAGTAAATAAATCGCCTGTCTGTCAGTACTGCTTTTCGGTAGTTGCACATGTCTTCTGCTGTACTAAGACTTCTCAATTTTAATGGTCATTTTCAAAGAATGTTCTAGGAAGTTTTGATTTTATCATGACCACTGTATACATTACCTAGAATGCAGATGAAATATTTTTATGAGATGAAATATTTAATCAGTACCTTCGAGTTTTTTCAGTAGGAAGGAACCTGCAATGTGCAATTTAAATAGGCGAACTTAAATTAAGGCACAGTGAACCAATGAGGGAGAAGTGCATTATCGAAGTTTATCTCAATATTTTAGTTGGGCATTATATAATGTTACATTAAACTGCAGAAGATAGAGTTCTCCAAAAAGGTGAGAGGATAAAACGAATAGTGGTTTGCGCTTAGTTATTTACTCTGCAAGGAGCAATGCCATCGATGAACAAGCGAAACCTTCAATGATGGTGCATGCACTCCTAATGCGATGCGTATTCACAGGTAACTCCTAACTGCGTCCTTTTGTCGGTTTTAAACTCCCACTGGTAGTCTATCTGTTCTGCATCCCTAAACACGCACTCTGACACCATATTACCTTATTTTCCTGGGAAGCCACTGAGTGGTTTGGTGTATGTGTTCACGCTCTTGCTAGTACCACACCACGCTTCAATCCTTTCAGCGGTTCGCAGGGTCAGTAAATGGTGGAAACTGGTGGACTGATATGGCGGCATTCATTTGTTTGATAATTGAGCGCAAAAAGCAAAATCAAAAAATAAAACCTGTGTGACTTACCAAGATCTTTCGTCGTTTCAAATTCTATATTTGGTGGATAGTAGAAGGTTGACAGAAGTTTAAATCGGTAGTTTGCAATATCTGATAAATTTCCGAATCTAAGGGCCGGATGAATATAAGTCCACTGTGTTGTTTGACTTAAATCGTAACCCTAGCTAACTAGTCCCCACTGACGCAGGCAGACAGGATTACTTTGTCTGGATAAAGTGTGCACACTGTACCTCTTTACATATACTACCAAACAATATGAGGAGGATAAGAGTTTGGCCAACATTACAAATTCTTTAAAAATTATAAATAGTGACATAAAACACACACTTCGGTCTGCTGCGTAAATCGAATAACAGAGGGGACTACTGTCTTAACGCTAGTCAAGCAATACCAAAAAAATCCAGTTTTTAGGTTGTACTCTGGGACCAATCATGATCAACGGATTGTATCAGTGTATCTCAGTTCTTAGAAACGTGAGACCTGCCCGGTTTATGTTAATCCAGTGTGGTTTTCTGATAAGGGGAATCGACTTGTTTCGACAGTACACGCAGTTTGATTGCCAGTTTGCAAAACCGGTCTGCGAACTGCACATTCAATAACTTAGATGTACATGTGCTGGATATCAGTGGATAATAGCAAGTTCGTAGTATCCTATTGAAACAATTACTTAATAAATCCAGACAATTTAATCGCGTTATATTTGCTTTCTGTCGGTAAATTTGTATTTTAAGATCAAGCAATTATGCCAAATATAGAAACTTCTCCCTAACGTGTGTGTTTAATAGTAACTTGTCATAAGTAATGATTGTTCGTTAACGTACTACGAAAACCGACTTGTAACGTCAATTATACGAATTCCCCGACTGCGGACAAAATAAAAAAATGCATCCTGGGAAAAGTAAGGTTCTTACGAAACAGTGTCTAATTAATTTAGCGTAGGCAAAGGTTTTACCTTTAATCCATTTTTGCACGTTCGCTTCTACAAAAGATGAACGGCAGCCATTGTTTAAGGCGAAAAATTATTATAATCCGTACGAAGCTAACTGCTTGCGATGTCTACGTAATTCATTTATTTTACCATAAATACTTATCATTTTCTAATCGCTAAAAATTGGTCACTAAAATTTGGCCATTCATATTTTGTCAAATATTTTTTTATTTGGAGTTTTGAGTGACTCCTGCAAAAGTAGTGCAAAATTTGGCCAAACGGCCGCACATTATTATTTCATTATAGTCGAACATTTATGCACATACCATCGGTGACCGATTTCAATAAACCCTCTGAAAATAAATTATAATAAAAAAGAAATGGAGGCTATAGTATGGTTATGAATATTAGGAACTGCAATTTGCTTCAAAGAAATGTCTTTGGTTACGAAATATTGCCTGTATTTTAGTTGATGATTTATAATGCTGGGTTTACCTAAAAATACCATGAAAATTGCATAATCCACTTTAAATTAACAAATTGTTCTACAGTGTTTATTTATTTTTTTACTGAAATACAGTGTAATATTTTATATTGCCTTACTGTATGTTTTTGGGGCATTGTCTACACCCCTATTATAACACTTTTTAGGGCGTTTGAATAAAACATTCTTCCCTCCATGCTTCGAGTTGTGTAAATTATAATGCCCAGAATAGAGCGGATTAGGATATATTAACTCACCAATTTTTTTCAGCAATTCTAAAACCAAAGACATTTGAGCAATTAACACGAAAGACTACTACTAGCATGTAACCAAAATAAGCAAAATAGTTATTTCTATCATAACGAAATAAACTTTACTCTGATTGTCAGCAGATGTGTCTAAGTGATTTAAATATATACGGAGGGTGGCAATTTAATACTTCTTACTCTTTACCAACGAAGAATAATTGGAAATTTCGTGAGGGCCACAATTTCAGAATTAATCGTTGCACGCAAGCCTCGGCTAGTGCAAAACGACCACAAATCGTGGTATTTAAAAAAAAAACAATCGTCTGCCATTCAGCGACACTGTCTGTATCTCACCTGAGGAGTCCTCACCGGATACATATTGTTCTATATGAAGAATAACATGGGGAAATTTGAAGTACACATATGCAATTTATCTGATTATAGACGACATATTAAACGACCATCGAGTTCAGTATGCACCCAAATGCGTAATAGATCGATGATTAGAAGTTCTCGCATACTTAAAGTGACATCTAAATATAAACGCTCAAACAAGAATCGCAAAATAGAATAAATGATTTCTAAGTTTGGTTTTACTCACTGAGGAATTGTTGGAGCTCTTTAAAAAACAAAAACAAAGTTAGTTTTCTCCTATAAGTTTTTCTTAATAAACAAAAGGGGAATTTCTCACGCTTACCTTTTGAAGCCAGTTTGCCGACAGCGGCTTTAAAAAAAGCATTTGGAAATCGTTTTAACAATATACTTTAAGCCTTTGGATAAATGACTGTGGCGCGCAACTAATAAACGAAATTCTGCACTTTGGTGTAAACTATATGTTAGTTGCAATGCGTTGAATGCTAAAGCAAAAGAGCTGTATGCACACAATGACTAAAAATATAATATTAATTCACAAAAAACGGGCACTAAACAAATCGGTTTAAATTAAGTTAAATTGCTTACAGAACAGAGATCCAATATCTGAAGTGTATTAAAATGTGGCAGCATGATAGTATTGCAGCAAAACGTTTTCTCCTTTTAATATCGATAGCAGGTTTTATAATCGAATGCTAATGGCTCCTTGTTCTGCTATTGTTGGACGCCAAGTATTTAAATGTTGGAAGTGGACCTGTGCAGGTAGCCAAAGAAACCCGTTGGATCAAGTGTCTGGTTACTAAAACATTTGGTTTATTGAGAGCACTGCGACAACGGCCTAGTGTGGCAGACAACGAGTTGGTACTTTTATTTTATAACATGATCTGGGGTAGGATAGTGGAGCTAAGTGTACAAGCGAAACTCAAAGCCAAGTGGAATTGACAAGATGTTTGAACCCGATCCGTCGTAAATGAGCAAAAATCCGGCTTCAGGGCGCAAATATAAAGTCTTGATTTTCTTGCCCGCATGATGTATAAGAAAACTTCGTCAGTTACAAAACATTTCATTATTTATTACGGAAATAATGATAAAGTAGTGCTCTTAAATCTCTTGACGACATCAAACCCCGAAATCGTGAGATGTGTAAGCCCGCACGTTAACCACACCAGATTAAGGGTACTGTTCAACACGCTTCTGTCAAGCAAAACAAATTCTTTAAACTGAATCAACTGTACGTGGTGCATCATCCCTGCTGAATCGGGAAATTTAGATCCGTTAGTTGAAGACCGCTATACTCGCATACTTCAGTGGAAGCGAATGTCAAATTACTTCAAGATATCACACAAACAAAATATAATTACCTGAAAAAATAGAATCCGATGATTTTTGATTTTTTTCATCGATTTTGGCCTGGCCCTTATCTAAAAAAAGGGCAGAGACGCACCTAAACCACAATTCCACCAACATTTTTGGCAGATAACGCCAATAATCTTTTACTTTATTGAAGGAGACTGTGACCTAGCTGTTGCCTGTGTGGCTACATTTTGTGTGCAACTTCGTGAAATTTAAGATCCAACTTGAAAGTTCTCTCTGTCAAAAAGCTGCTTTGGGTTCGAAGAAAAATGTTGACTTAATACGATTTCAGAGCTCATTATTGCAGTCTCCTGTGTGCCGGACAAGCAGTGGTCATTAACTGACGGTTTACGTGACCTATGGCATTCCCCGAATCGGACGGCATGTGTTTGCCGTAGTAGTTTCAAGTTTGCTATTTTATAACTATTTGGCATCCTTGTGCGCGATTAAATTCGTCAAATGTTTATTTTAGACGTCGCACTTTGGGGTTTTGGATTTTAAACGGACCAAGCCATAGAAAATAACAAACAGAGGCCACTACCAAATATGCTTGAAAGCACAGTATTAATCAAAATTTTCAAGCATTAAAACGGCCGACCAGTCTACCAGATCCTAAGGGTTCCACCAAATTATCCATTTTAGATATGAGCTATGATACAATTCGAGAGCTCTGCCGCTGGTTAAACACCTTCGACGAAATAGAAGTACCGATTAAATAAATGAGGTTTGTTTGACTTACCGATCACATTTCCGAAAGTACCAGAAACGGCAAACATTGCCAGGAGCACAACAACAAGCTGGGGATAGATGGAACACATTTTCAGTGTATTATCAGAAGACGATAACTCCTACTGTCGGCTTCTGGTCTGACTATATATATGATGTGCACAGGACCTCAACAGTTTTACCACGCAGGAGGAACCGGGCGGACCATTCAGCAAGTTTGTTGTTCCCGTTTGCGTAACATGACGCAGACGTAACCAGAAAAACAAGCAGAATGGGTACCACCTGCACTTTAGTTGAGGGAGTGAGCCCAGGCCTTTAATTTGAGTAGAAGCAGATACCAGATGAGAAATAAAATTCAGGGAAGATTCAGCCTGCTCAGTGCTCTTGTTTTTGATACAGGATTGATTGGCAGTCATAAGCGTAATCTGCAGAGAGAAATCGGAAACAAAACATGTGCAATCTCATAAGTCTTGCACGAAAAGAAGGCGATTTTAACAAAACTAATTTCCTCTCATTGCTGTGACAAGTGGTGCTGTTTGATCGACTTAAGTTTGGAAACGGACAATCTAGTGCATAGCGAATATCTCTAAATATGTTAAGCCGCACATTTCAGAATTGCACACGGTGTCCGTAAGTTCACTATCCACCTTAAATAAATTTCTAAAAACCACAGACAAAATTAAACTTTTTCACATTTTCGGATCCAGCAGAGTAGTTATTGTAGTGTCACCTGCAAGAATTCCATCAAGTTTCAACGCTTTGAAGAATACCTCTATACAACTTTGTGAGTGCCTTCACACTCAAGACCATTCGGACACGTCGGGCCACACCTTGTAGCACCTAGTTGGCGATTTCGCTGGTGGTCGTGTCGATTCTGTCATCAGGTTGAGACAGGTAGGAAGATTTAATGGCATGCGCTTTGCTTTCCCTATCGCCGCAGAGAAAACCTCAAAAGGTATACGGTCAGGGACCACAGAGGCCATTGGTTGGGACGCCTTTGACCAACACGTCGGCCAGGAGGCATGAAGTTCAGGAAATCCCTTACCAACACAGAAGAGTGAAGAGGAATTCCAGCTTGTTAAGAAAAGGCACTAGCAACGTCACTTCACACCTAAAGTTGTGAAATTACAAACTTCTTCAGCATCTCCATGCACTTTTTGCTTGTGACCGGGACAACGTTATCGAATGTACTTCAGAGGAAAGATGGTCCAGCCCACCCGGTACAAAGCATGGCAGGCCACTTCGCCACATCATGCTCCAGCCTTGCAGCTTCAATTGATTTTCCGCAAATTCGACCTTTAAGTCAGTCTACACGACCAGAAAGAGGAAAGATAGACCCGTCGTTAAATCCTACGTTTCCCAAGAGCTGAGGGAGACTTGGTAATGGTGGAGGAGGCATCTAAAGGTCCTGCAGTCGTAAGGGCTAGGGTTTTGTCGTCATTCGAAGCAACCGCTGGGTCAAAATTTTGCTGTACAGCTCTCGGGGTGGATCTTTCCCGGATTCATCCAAAAGCCTGCTGCAGGAATCTTGTTATTTAATAACGGTGATAGCGTAGTTTCAAAACCTCTGGGTGCAAATTCAATTGCAGATTGGATCAAAAAATATTCGGGAATTAAAAGCGACTTTTATAACCGAAGGACACATTTTCCTTGAGTATAAAGTTAAAAGGTGTCACCTTCTAACACATGGGTCAATCAGAGTATTTGTCTGCCCATTGTTTTATCTATGAGGACCATTTGAATCAATACGTTACATAAAATCACTGCAGGAGCTCAAAATACATTACTGGCCATTTTTAACCTGCGAGGGTTTTGCAGACGAACAAAAAGAATTGCGTTTAGACGTTGGTATGCAGACTTAACTGAACAAGCTTGGGATTAAGCTGCACATTAGTCATTGTTAAAGTCCTATCTGAGTTACGCCCTCTAATCGACAATACATTTTTCAAATGTCGATTGCATAATATAGGTCAAATAATTCGCTTTGTCACTGCAGTAAGTAAAGTTAAGCTTGAAGCCGTACAACTTTGTCACAGCAGGGGGGGCAATTTGAAGTTAACTCTAGAAGGCATTACGCCGGAAAATCACAAAAAAATCGTCACCAGCGCTTATGTCCTCCTTCTCCTTAGTTATTACGGTAGCGTAAACTTACAGCTAGCGCCGCGGCCAACGAGGATAGACGGGATCCAGATCATAGTGACATGCAGGTTGGATGCAGGCACACAGGCGACATTGGCGGGTCAGGCATCAAACAAAGTGTGCCATATAAGGCGAGCTGTGTGCATGACTTCCCAGTCTCTGAAGATGGGTAGAACAAACGACTACTCAAAACACTAGACCTCTAATTCACCTCTCCCGGTAAACACCTTTTCTTTTGAATGCAGAATCCCTGAACTCCACCATACTACTTCACCTTCTACTTACAGGATCAATAATGTCTTTACTTTTCTACAACTGTCAGTTTTGGACCTCTAAATAGTCACAGATGACTGAGGTATTGGAGCGAAAGTAACGGTCCCATAGTGAGTGGTAATCTCACTGGTACTGACTATTTCGGCATTGGTTGCGATTTTGCTCTTGTCCTGTCCCTCCTCAGCTAGTACGGTAGCGCAACCGTTTAGCAATATTACGAAATGCGCACCATCATTGAGGAAGCAATCTATCCACCTCCCTGACGACCACTTAGCTATTGTTGGGTAGCAGCACGAGTGGGCCAGTAGCCTGCAATCAGCACCCATCGAATTTTGAATCAAATTTTTTCCAATCCATCACTTTAGAGGTTTACAGGGCTTTGTGAACCTCAGTTCGCACTTGATTCAACGCAATATTCTCCTGCCAAATTACAATTCCAAATATCGCAGGATGTTGACTTTACACCCTTCGGCCAACTGCATGCAGCCATATTGACTTGCCAGCTTCCAATGCAATGCATTATGCATGAAACCTTTTAACTGACTCCCTGGCTGACAAATATGTGTGTACTATGCAGCTTAATTAACTTCAGTATGTCTTATATGCAGGGGAACAAACGCCTCCACAAACCTATTTAGCTCCCTCTGAATTACAAGATCGGGTACGGTGTGAGATGCCGGCTGTGAGGGTGCAGATTGCTATAAGTAATAGTATGGTAGGGGGCGCTCATCGATCGTTCTTACGGAACTCACTCGTTACGTTGTGCCTTACGGGCTCTCTCTCGGGCCCAACCAGTAACGGCACAGCGGAGCATGATATAGACAGGATGGTATTACCAACAAAGACAAGGGAGACTGGAATGGCCATTTCTGGCTTATAAGTCGTCGTCAGCCAGTCATACCCAACCCCGAAGTGTGGAACACTCGAGGCTCGAACTCGCGACCTGTTAGAAGTCCACGCCTCTAACCACTGGGCCACAAGCGCGTTGCCCTGTCGGCTTAGATCGTTTCGAAGTAATAGTATAAAGCGAGGGCCAACAGAGAGGGCACGTTTGACCGTATCTGATAATCTTCGTTAGCATTCGGCGAACACAGGCAAATTTTTGAGCTATTAGGCGTTGAAGAATGACCGAAAATGTCCTGATTATGCAAACAAACAACTTCTGCCTCATTCTCTCAAAATTTTGTCGATCTACACCTTCTGCAGGCAAAATCTAAAGCACATGCGGTCACTTGATAAAATTTCAACGTCTTTCATTGAAAGATGCCTTCCTATTGACCCTGGATTATTGCAGAAAATTGTAAAACCGTTGTCACCAGTAACGGGCATGATAGTGATATGAGCATCCACTCTAAAACCTGACTCTGCAGAGTGGAGGAGTAAGGGCTTTAAGGTCGACGTTGATCGGAAGCAAAGGGTCATAATTTTTGCTTATTTTTAGTAGTAATTGAAACACGGACAACGTGCGAAAGGAACATATTTAATTTATGGGACAATACCGGGGAAAATATTTGTTGTTTCCGGATGTTATAAGGCTCACACTTGCGCTTATGGCGTGATTTCCGCGATAAGTCGGTTATCGGGAGGGCCATGTTGTTTCCTGATGGATTAACATTCTTATAGTCTTGTCTGCATTTGACAGAATCGCTTAGAAAACACATGACGCATTTCCCGAACGAAGACAAACTAATAGGTGCTTACTGCGCCCGAATGCTCAAATTAATCGTTCCATTGAGCAATTGTGAACGTGTTGCTGTTTACCTAGACCAGAAACACTCGAAAATGCCCCACTGCCGACGGAGCGTTCTTAACATCTGCGGTTTTTAATGTCACATCAAATTGCTTCCGGAGCATTTCTGACGGCGTGACACTTCGCCCGTCCTAACTGTTTCAAAGCCTCAGCAATGACTGGCTCATTGAGACTGGTCAACTGGAGTTATTATGAAGCAATTTTGTTGCATCAGACTTTGGTAATCAAGGGGCCGGATGAGCTAAAAAAACCTCCTAGCGTCAGGTGTCTGAAACTCTGCCAGGATCTTTAAAAACTATGACTCATTCAACCGACCTGGACTGGGGGATGATGTAACCTGCAGACTCGATTTTTATGGCGCATTCTCGCAAATATTAAATTACAAGAGATTTCTGCATTTTAAGGACAACAACAGCGTCGTAACGCCTGCTTCATACCAGTCCTCATCTTGGCAAAAATTGCAATTTTGATCCTGCCCTCTTTCTTCCCCTGAGATGGTGCGGTAATAAAAATTAGAGGAAGTGTGCGTACAAAGGTAGCCCACCCATTCGTCTCACTGGATACAGCCACACCAGTTTACTTCGTTCCGATCCACCGCTTTCGGCATGGGGCATTTTTTAATGGTTACTCAATTCACCGTAACAAACACACCTACGCTGCTCACAAGAGCTGATGATGCTTCAGTCTCAGCAAAGGAAAAAAACCCACGCCCCCATCCCCCGCATAGTTTCTCAGGAAAATCGTGTCCCGTGAACAGTAATAGATGTGACGTCAGGATCAATGGAGAAATGGTTCACGCGGTTCTCCCATAATAGCTCATAAAGGCTCTTTCCAATTAAATAAAAATATATCATCTACTTCCGCATGTAATCGTCATTTACTGTGTGCCATTTCTTATGTCCGGTCGTTAAATTTACATCCAATAATTTT